AGATCTAAAAGTTCTGACACCAGGAGGCAAAGCACTTCTCTGAAAACTTACCAGCCTCCCAGATAACATACTTGAGACTTCCCACAGAAGAGCAGTTCAAATGTTGATTTCTGATAGTTCTGTAAAATCACAATACACATATTTAGCACCAATGAAATCCTGGAACCTCTTGTTCACTGGCCTGCAGTGAACATACTGCCTCTTCCAGAGGGCTAAGGTGCTGGTAACTCTGACCTTGATTACAGCAACAGACTGGCCCCTGGTGGTGGTAAAGCAAAGAGAATCACCATTCTGAGAGGTGGATATAGGGCTGTCTCTCCCTCCCATGTGTTTCAGACCTCATTGCCTGGGGGAGAATGTTAACTTTATTTTAATCATAGGAAATATCCCCTACCTAAAGAGATAACATGCACACAGACTTTTCTTTTGAACTTAGGTCAACTTTTCTGAACACAAATATTTATTCTTTATATCACAAAAAATTCCTCATAATAAAATGTTTCTAAATCCTGCAGAGTTGCCAGAGTGCTAGACACATTGTAACGCCTCCGATAAATATAATTAAAAACTTAAACTTAAAGAAGGAATAATTTAGCAAAATATCAAGTCTTTGCCACAATGATTTAGATTTCCTCACTGAAATATTATTTCAAACTGGGTAAACTTTCGAACTGTTCACAAATGCACATCCTTTCATGATCCTTAAATTTAAAAACCTGACTTTTAAATAAAAACCTAGAGTGCCTAGAAAAAAATTTGGCTTAGAAAGAAAATGTTCTGTAAAAGGCCATAAAATGTGAGTTAAAATAGGTTCCTGTACTTAACTACCTTTACCTGATTTTCCCCTAAATATGTTATGAATAATGTAAAAAGTCACCAAGTATAACCACCCACATTGCAGACAGTTTATATCATGTAAGTTTTAAATCTCATTTTGTGTCACTACCTCTAGAAACCCAGCACTTACCTTTTATGGAAAAAAGAAAAGCAGCATCTAATTTTTCATAGATTTTGGTAGAGCTTTTCAACTGGCTTTTTTCTTTTCTCACGGATTTTCCTATATAATTAGAATTTGCTTCTGATCAGCTAAACTGTCAATGAAAAGCTAAAGCTCTTGGGGCGCCTGTGTGGCTTAGTCAGTTAAGTGTCTGCCTTTAGCTCACGTCGTGATCCCAGGATCCTGGGATAGAGCCCCACATTGGGCTCCCTGCTCAGCGGGGAGCCTGCTTCTCCCTCTCCTTCTGCCTGTCACTCCCCCTGCTTGTGCTCTCCCCCTGTCTCTCTGTCAAATAAGTAAATAAAATCTTTAAAAAAAAAAAAAAAGCTAAAGCTCTCTCAAACCTCAAATCCATCTGGCATGGGTTTTAAATTTCAGACATCCTATAGAAGATCACACCAAGTAATCACTTAACTCTTAGAAAATATGATTTCATTTTCTTCAATAAAAACATTAATAGTAATTAGAGTAAAAATCATGTTAATGCCAGTAAGGCACAAATTGCTACATGAAAGTGGACTGATTGCCGAACATCACTCTCAAATTCTGAGCCGGATTCATTTTCATGGTAAATTTCAAAGATGAATTGTACAAAATCCAATCTAAGCAGAAGTATTTAACAATTTTGTCTCCCATTCCCATTCATATTTCTGGGCACAAGAGCCAAAAACAATAAAATGTAAATATTCGAGAGCATGGATGTGTATATATATGGATTCTTAGTGTGTATAAATGAATTCTGTGTATATGCGAATTCTGAAAGCTTTGTGGAATCTACCATAAATCTGAGAAATGTCTAGCATAAATTACATACGAATGTCAGGTAAAACTCAGACAAGTTTCATTGGTGAAGCTGATAAACTATTAGGACCACATCCTTTGCGTTTTATTGCATTTATTTGGCTCCTATCACTGGACTATTTGTTGCAGACATGAACATCTTTCTCAGTGTGACCATGCTCTATCTTGAATGCCAAGGCCAGAGATTCTTTTTTAGTGCCGTGCATAGTAAATTACGGTATATTCTGGAATAAACTATAGATACAAACTACTCGGACTATCTCGGTCTTAACCAATCCCTTAAGTGCTAGGGCAGAGGAGGGTAAATCTAGGGAGATATAGGCCATCAATATACCAAACAACTCACTGTTGGGTGTTGTCCAGAAACCAAGCTGCTGAATGTTAAAAACTGGAAATTGGCTTTACCAGGGAGAAACTGGTCGCCTTACCGCAAGATTTCCCTAGAGCTTCAAACTCCTCTTTGGACTCTGCTTTGGGATTTTACTATTTTTTTTTTTAAAGATTTTATTTATTTATTTGAGAGAGAGAGAATGAGAGAGAGAGAGCACGAGAGGGAAGAGGGTCAGAGGGAGACGCAGACTCCCTGCTGAGCAGGGAGCCCGATGTGGGACTTGATTCCGGGACTCCAGGATCATGACCTGAGCCGAAGGCAGTCACTTAACCAACTGAGCCACCCAGGCGCCCGGGATTTTACCATTTCAAAGAAAACAATCAAATTTATGATTTGATACAGGGGCTAGCTTGAGCAGAGCTTAAGACTGCCTATAACTCCATTTTAAGGAAGAATTGAAATTCAGATAAAATACTAAGACGCAGGACGTGTGGGGCTGGCTTAGTTGGTAGCGTGTGTGACTTGATCTCAGGGTTGTAAGTTTGAGCTCCACATTGGGTGTAGAGATTACTTTAAAAAATAAAATAAGACACAGGAGATCAGTCTCTGGTGGTTTTAATATACAAGCCCTAGCTCTCTGACAAGTCCACTGAGAAAAAAAGTAAAGGCACTTAAGATTTTATTCTCCTTGTGAAGGGAAGGAGACATTAAGTTATGGTAAAGAGGTTTCTAAGTGTGGGGCGCCAGGCTCATACCTTTTATAGACACCAGCTACATCTGAGAAAGGAGGAGTTCTGGAACTTTAGGTCACTGTACAACATAATTTGGGAATAACCTGTTCTGAATCTGTTTAAATTAGCTTCAGTTTTAAAGCTAGTTAAAATGCTCTATGTTCACAGCTGATTTTTTCCAATAAGCAGGGATGCATAGAAGAGTGAGTTTAAAAATACACTGAACGATATTTTATGAATGAATGTCTGTGATATGGCATTAGTACCACCAGAATGCTGCTTTAAGTAAAGCAAAATTCCGAACTCTAAAATTTCTACTTTCCTTCTTGAACAAATTTTGATGCACCCTGTGCTTACACAAATTTCTGAAATGCTACATATTAAACCTGTTCCAGTCTTGATGAGTATTAAACATTTTATTTAAAGATTTTAAAGTAAAAAAAAGGGTACACAAATACAGATTACATTATGATGACCAAGGCAGTATTCTACATGACAAAAATCAAAACAAAACAAAATTTAAAAAGTAAATATACAGGTACCAAACAAGCACAATACCTGATATGCAATTCAGGCTGCATACACATAAAATGATCTGACCACAGATGTGCTTATGCAAAATAAGTTTTTTCTTAGAACACCAAAATTCTAACCATTCTGTCAACTGCCTTATTCCCGTTGAGTATTTTGAAAGAACTTCTATATAATATAAAAGGAATTGGCATGGCACTTAAAAACTACAAAAAACAGAACACAATTAAAAACATATTTGTAATGCAATTTTGTATAAAATATACACGGTAAATCTTATTAGTTAAAAAAAATATTTAAAAACAAAAAACCACCCTGAATAATGGTTAAAACCTCATCACAGAAAAATGTTCATCATTTGTAACATTACTGATAGAAAACAGATGGGATTTTGCGGGGAGGGGAGATACCTAACTTGAAGAAGTCATTCAAAATTTATTTAAAATTGTAGATAAGATAGTAACTCACTGCCTACCCCTTTCTCAAAACTTATCATGAATATTCTAATATATAACTACAGGACAAAATAAAAGAATAGCTCAAAGAAAGTGTTTCTCAAAATAAGGTCCAAAGACCCAAAAGAATTCTAAGGTGGGCCCAGCAATGTGCATTTTAAACAAATGTCCCAGGTGATTGTTCCCCATTCTAAAATTTGAGAACTAATGCCCTAGGGAAACAGTACCACTTAAAAGCAAGATCATAAATATATTTCTGATATGTCAGAATTTTCTATGAGTTTATGGTTTGCAGTGAATTCTGTTTCTTAAAACAAGTTTCAGGTATTAAGAAAAACATATATACCTGTTACATAAACATGGGAATGTATATAAACTTTTTCCTTTGAGGTTTTCATTGCTTTCAGATTTAGTTATTTAAAGAAAAATGAGTATATGGCCAGAAACTTCAGAAAAATTACATTTCTAATAAAATGTAGCATCCAAAAGAGATAATTTATTAAATGCCTATAAATTTTAAATCATTCTAAATGTAAGACTAGATTTACTAAGATTAGACAGTAATTTAGATGATTATGGTTACTTTTTACATCCCTTTATATTAAAAAAAATATTCAAAATAAACAGATGCTATCATTGGCATCCCTTTAAATAATAAATTGCTAAAGACTAATATTAATAAAAAATAATCTGAAGAACTCTGCCCCTGAAATGTATTTCACCTTTTTACATGTGTTACCTACTTAATAAAAACTCACTTAAGGAGCTGGAACTGTGGGGTATGTACATGCATGTCCTTAATATTTATTCATGTTTACCTTATTTTTTAAAATTTCACTGAAGACTCCATAAAAAGGGTCCAAAAGTATGGATAATGGGGCTTTGGTGAAGAAGTGAGTATGGTCAAGTGAGTATGGTTAAGACACTATTTGGAAGATAAATACTTTTTCTGTATACTAAATTATAAGGAAAAAATAGCATACGTTCTCTCTCCACTGGATAATGGAATGCTTTTACAAGTCTGATAATGACTGTTTCCTTATTATTTAAATCAAATCACAAAAAATAACTGTGGGATTTGCTAATAAGGAAAGAAATCTCACCATCTTACTTTTCGGTATCTATTTTAAATTTCTATTTTTTTTTCTTTCTACATACTGAAAAATGCTCCATTCAAATGCATCCTGGGCTCTTTGAGTGATATTTATTAACATTCCAGTTAAAGTTCTGGCTAACAGGGTAAGCTCAGAAGTTAATGCCCATATACTAAAGAAATCACTCTCATCAGTTTTTCAAAAACAGCTAATGATTTGGAATCTGATACTTAACAAAATATGCCCATTTCTTCCCTCAAGGAGAATTTGTATCCCTAATTCTAAGCAAGTGACATCTTTTATTACCACTTTAATAACTGCTGCCTTAAAAATCAATAATTTAATTATCCAAGGCAATAAAATTTACAGCTGAATTTTTAAACACAACTCAGAAATAGGTAATATAATAAATTGTTGTTTTTTGAATTATTCTTTTATATCAAAATTAAACACTTCAAGGTGAAGTGAACGAAGAATGACAAAAAAATCACGGGAGGCTTACGACGTAATCCCACCAGGTGCCTTAATGCAACGGATACGCTGTTTAAAAGCAGTGTAAATATTTCCTTTAAACAAAAGGACAACTTCATTACTCATCAGTAGGCTGCTGGATTACCAGTATAGTTAAGTGTTGACATGACTGTCTGGAAACTAGTTTCATTTTCTTTTTCATAGTCAGATGTAATAATTGACTCTTACAGCCAATAACAGAAGATACTGAGTGCTTTTTTGTAGGTGAAAAATATAAAATGGTTCATGGTATCCAGGCTGGTAACAAGTTTATTCATGCATTAAATGGCAACACAAGCAAAATGCATAGTTGGAAAATAAGGATCAGACACATTCTTCTGCAGACATCAAAAGAGGATTGATGTACTCAAAACCTTCGAATTCAGACTGATCAATCTTCCTCACGATGTCACTGTTGAGAGAAAAATAAATTAATTTTCATAATCTAGATTTCTTCAACTTTTTATTTAATTGGTAAAATAAAATGAAAAAAAAAAAAAAGGCAGGGACGCCTGGGTGGCTCAGCTGGTTGAGCGTCTGCCTTCTGCTCAGGTCATGAGGTTCTGGGGTTCTGGGATTGAGTTCCCGCATCGGGCTCCCTACTCAGTGGGGAGCCTGCTTCTCCCTCTGCCCCTCCCCCCAGCTCGTGCTCTCTGTCAAATAAATAAAATCTTAGGAAAAAAAACCAAAAAAACAAAAACAAAAAATAAGTCTAATTTCCATAGATTATGGGGGAAAAAAATCTCTAAGTGTTTAGATTAGTTCCAAAACATTTTCTAGAAGAATCAAGAGTACTGAAAAGAAAAGAAGACTAACAATCCCACAGGCAAGTTTGGAACTAAAAGGTGGTCCAAAATTGAAGGCTAGGAATAAAAAAGTCACAAACTGTCACAAGTCTAGTTAATTTTAACTTTTGACCTGAACATTCATATTTATAGGTGAACATCCAGGTCTGAATTAGCATTCAATTTAGTCATCACCTCAACAGGATGATGGTGGTGACAAGGCCCAGGAGAAGTTAACTGAAAGGAAAAGGCAATAGGGACAGGTACACAGACCTCAAATACGGAGCAGATACTGCAGGGAGGTAGTAGAGATGTTGGCATTCTGCTATACTGAGCTTCTAATTTAATATGCAATAAGAGTAGTACTATTGAATATTTTAATACTTAAATGCACACAACATACTGCAGAGCACAAAGTTACACAGGATATAGTCCCTTCCTTTAAGGAGGGAAGATACCTCATATAATGAAAAGCTACAAGAGAAAGCAGTACCTGCTAAATTTCATACAGGACAGCTAAGTCCTGATCTAACCACAGTTCGGAAAAAAAAAAAAAGGGTGACTTCTAGTTAGAGAAATCGAGAATGCCAGCATTCATTGTATAAACACTTACCAAATGGAATTATGAAAGATGATGTTGGGTCTGAGAAAAATGCAAGTAATTTATTCGAGTTGAAAGCACAGGAACAGAAGCATGTCAAATGACAGATGATCTGGAAGGAAGGTAATGGCTAGCTCAAAGCAGCTGGTGACGTTTACATGGAAGAGTTTCACCTTGATTCATCGAAGATCTGGCTGCATCTGAGGTAGCTCAGAAAGATGGAGAAGACTCCCGTATGTAAAAATGAAGGGTGCAGACAGAGGAATGGCATGAGCGAAGGTCAGAGCACTCTGCCAGAGAACGCAGAGTGATGGAGACTGGTCAGAGCACAGCATCTGTGCTAGAGCACAGTGAGAGACGACCGGGGAGTCAGGCAGGAGGAGACGGTGGGAGGCCATAACTGCTGGCCAAGGGGACAGATTTTATCTGCTAGGCAAGCAGGAGGTTCCTGGAGGCTTCCGACAAGGGGGTGCTACTGAGATGTGTGGAATGGGTGGCAAAGCAAAGAAGATGCCCAATGAGGAGGATGGTGTAATATTCTGGGTATGATCTAAAAGAGATGTGAACTAGACTCAGGGCAATGGGAATGGAAATGAAGGATCTGATGCAAGTAATGAAGTAAGGGGAGAAGAGACAAGGACTTGGTAGCTGAGTGTGTTATAGTTTGTTAAGAAAAAGGAAGAGTCAATAATCATGGACATTTTGAATCTGAACAAATACGTGATGACATGATGAGCAGAAAAAGGTAAATAAAAACAAGGAACTGATTGAGAACAACAGAAAAAGAGACCATAAAGAATCATTACTTTTCTTTTCTTTCTTTTTTCATCTCTATACCCAACATGGAGCTCAAAATCACGACCCGGAGATCAAGAGTCACAAGCTCCACTGACCCAGCTAGGCATCCCAAGAGTCGTTACTAAAGGTATTTTAGATTTCGTATGTTTGAGGTGCTTATCTGACGAACTAGGGGAGATGTTTACACAAGCAGACAGAAATGCAGCTCAGAAGAGATACTGGGTGGAGGCTAGGTGCTTCAGAACTGTCGTTCATTTATTCTTCACAGTGGCCTTGTGACATAAGCAGTAAGAGATCAAACAGGCTCAGAGAAGTTAGGAAATTCAAGCCCAGGGGCACCTGGGTGGCTCAGTCGTTAAGCGTCTGCCTTCGGCTCAGGTCATGATCCCAGGGTCTTGGGATCGAGTCCCGCATCGGGCTCTTTGCTCAGTGGGGAGCCTGCTTCTCCCTCTGCTTGTGCTCTCTCTCTGTGTGTCAAATAAATAAAATCTTAAAAAAAGAAAGAAAGAAATTCAAACCCAGGTTACCCAGTTGGTAAGAGGTGGTGTCAGGACTCAAATTCCCATCCTTTGATAGGATCTGGTGTTCTAATACATGACGCTGTCAGAAGTAATTATATTGGTACATCTCTCTCCTTTAGGAGATAGTAAGCTTTTTGTGAGACTGACCCCCATCTTAATCGTCTTTGAATGTCTAGTACTTAGTACACTGCCTTTTGCTCAACAACTGTTTCCCAATTTAGCCAGGTGTCATTTAAATAGCTGGTATCAATACTGTGGGGCTGGCTGAACTCTCCAAGGCACAGACTGCATATAGCAAAGAGAAGGCTGTCATGAACGGAACTGTGGAACAGCCCAGTCTCAAGGGGACAGGGATAAAGGGGTGACAAGTGGTCACAGAGATGCAGCAAAACCAGGAGGGGTAGTGCCAATCAAAGCAAGGCCATGAGCGCCAAATGCTGTACAGACATCAGGGGAGATGAGGACTGATCAGAATACGCTTTAAAAATCAGAAATGAACAAGTCAATTCAACCTTCAGACACTGAAGGAACAGGTTAAACTGTAAGGAGTTAAAGTGCTGGTAGTAAGAAAGCCCCAGTCAACGCTGACTATTCTCAAGGAGTCTGATAGAGATACTGCTTATCTATTTTTCTTTTATCATGAGATTCTATTAACTATTTTGAAAAAAATGAAGAAAATGTGATGGTTCAAAGATGGGCTAAGGTTCAGGGGAAAAACTAGGATTTCTGGGCATGTTGATAAGTAGCAGAAACGCAGCGGGGAAAGAGAAATTAAAGGAGGTGGATGAATGGACGTAACTAACACAATGAGATCCTGGCAGAAGCTAAGGAGACAGATTAGGGCCATGGGGCACCCCCTGCAAACGAGGGACACCCAAGCACAGGAAGGAAGGAAGAGGAGGTTCAAGAGAGCACCTGTGAGCCGCGAGGTGGTCTGGTGAGATCTGAAAAGGGAGCAGGATCCCACGGGGGGGGGTTCCCTTCCTTGCAGTCAAGGTAAGGCAAGGCTGATCCACTAACAGTGGGGGTCATGGGGGTAGGACTGAAGGCTTCTAAAATGTGAAGACAGTCTGGAACAGTTGACGAGGAATGTGGTAGGAATTAACAAGATGTGAGTAAAAATACTGCTGAGGAGGAAGGGCCTCCGGGAGATCAGAGAACGAATCTGTAATGACAGGTAAATGATCAAATGTCCCCAAATTACTCTAAACCATACTTTTAAAAGATGCAACATAAACATAAAAAATATGTCAGCTCACTGCTGGCTGGACTTGGTAGGGTAATGTAATCTTTTTAAAAAGCAATTGGGCAATACATATCAAGAGCTTGAAACATTTGATCCCCTTGGACTAATACCCTTTCGAGGAATCTATCTCAAGGTAACACGCAGGGACTCTGACAAAGACGGCGGCCTGCACAACAGGGAAGTCCAGGGCAGCGCAAGTGCGTGGGACTTGGGCAGACTGGGGCTTGCATCCTGACGCTGCCGCCCAAAAGCCACCTGGCAACTGTGAAACTGCTTCCCCTCTCCGAGCCTCAGTTTCCTGGTCTGTAAGACGAAGAGGACCATAAGTAGATTCACAAGGTTGTCGTGAGAATTCGAGGTGAGGCACGGAAGGGAAAGTAGAAGAGGGCAGTTGTTATAATTTATAAGAGTGTCATACATTGAAATAATCCCATAACTGAATGGCTAAGTAAAGTATACTATAATCTCATAATGAAGCACTGTGTAGCCACTAACAATGAAACTTCCAAAGAACTTTAGAAATATTTCAGTCTACAGAATTACTTACTCATCATCTGGAGTGAGCTGGACAGGTTCATTAGTAAACTGAGAATCAAAGTTGTCCAAGCCAAATTCCCCAGAAATATTTGGTTTAAAGGGAGGTACCACCTGCTTTTGCTCCATCTAGAAAAGACATATTAGATGACAGCTCAAGCCTACGTTCTCAGAAAAATTCCACCTCTACATTTCTCCTCTGCCCTCAGATGCCTCCTTGGCCTATCCCAGTGAGTTCTTAGCAATGGCTCTACAGTATTCACAAGGATGGAAATCATTTACAAAACTGAACATTGATGCAGGCCTTACTAATTTTACAACCTGCTCCATTAAATTAATATTCGAGGCTTTTACCGTTTTAAAAGCTTTTTAAAAAGCACTTTAGAGAGTGGTTTTAAGTTACTGGAAGCTGTGATATATTTGTTTTTCAACATTCTTTTAAGAAAATAAAATTTGGGGGCGCCTGGGTGGCTCAGTTGTTAAGCATCTGCCTTCAGCTCAGGTCATGATCCCGGGGTCCTGGGATCGAGCCCCACATCGGGCTCCCTGCTCCATGGGAAGTCTGCTTCTCCCTCCCCGACTCCCCCTGCTTGTGTTCCCTCTCTCGCTGTGTCTCTCTCTGTCAAATAAATAAATAAAATCTTTAAAAATAAATAAATAAATAAAAAGAAAAGAAAATTTGGCCCAAGATAATGAAACCTAACATAGAAAACAATGAAAATTTACATACCATATCCCAATCAACATTTCGAAAGAATGGGTGTCCCTGAATATCAGCAAATCCTGTTTGAGGATGACAACCCAATCGTTCCTTTGGGTCCTATGGTGGGAAGAAATGTTTCAGGAAGTAGGTGGACATCATGCTTTAGAATAAATCATCTTTGTGACCTGTCTGGGTTTCATGTCTATTACATGATACCTTTATATCTGAAATCAGAATGGTCTACCTTTCATTTCTACATAGTACAACACTAGACTTAAATGAGTATCTGAAGCTTGTGACAAGATTTCCTCATGGCTCTCTCTAGCTATCATGTGATTATAGTGGACATAGGTCTCTATTCCTTGCTAAAGAAAAATGGGAGGAAAAAGCAGCAGAATCATTTGAGCAGCACCCTGATATTTCTTTGGCAGAGATTAGAGTGCTGGTCAAAATATACAAACCCCAAACTTTACAAGTTGGTTCTTGGCTCATTTTAAAAGCCCAATGCCCAATTACAGCAACAAACCATAATCTGTATACAACAGTGATACAACCATTATGTGAACCATTAAACTGAGAAGGGGCTGCAACTTATAAAAAGTCATGGCTTATTCATTATTGTGAATGAGAACATGTTACTATTTTCCTTTCCAATAAAAGATATTTTGAATATTAAAACCTCTCACCTTCATTTCTCAGTGTGTTAATACTTAGATTTCCATTTTAAATCTTTCCTCAGATAAAGTACTCAAAAGCTTCAACTTATTCTATTAAAATTCATCATTATCTTATCTATATGTACCTTAGAAGGCAAATGTACACCAACCTACTTTCTAACCTATAATTTATTTAAAATAAGATTTATGACTGCCAAGATCACTGTGATACAGTAAGAGGCATATCTGGGGTCTGTCCCAGGTTCCCGACACAGAGCTCCTAAAACCCTTGTAATTTCCTGAGTCACAGAAGTGCCATTATTCATAACAAGTCCCTTTTGATTATACCTTAGTTTATGCTAGTAAGGTGACTCTTGGTGGGCCTGCAATAGCTTCAGGATGGGATCTGGTTGCCAGAAGAACCAACCATGTGATTAGAGTTGTAACTTTCATTTTCAGAGGGGCTGGAAATTGAGTTCAATCACCAATGGTCTTAATCAATCATACCAATGTCACGGAACCTCCACAAAACCGTCTGAACCCTGGGGTTTGGAGAGCTTCTGGGTTGGTGAACACATCCATGTGCTGTGAGGGTGGTGCACCCCAACTCCACAGGGACAGAAGCTCCCGTGCTCAGGATCCCTCTGGACCTCACCCTGGGTATCTTTCCATCTGGTTGTACATTTGTATCCTTTATAACAAACCAGTGATAGTAAGTAAACTATTCCCCTGAGTTCTGTGAGCCGTTCCAGCAAATTACTGAACCTGAAGTGGGAGGGTTGCGGGAACCCCCAATTTCATAACCAAGTCACACAGAAGTGTGGGTACTCAGTACTTGTGACTGGCATCTGAAGTGAAGACAGTCTTGTGGGATGGAGCCCTTAAACCCCTGGAATCTGATGGTAACTCTGGGTAGTTAGTGTCAGAAAAAAAATGAATTGTAGGACACCCACTATGTCTGGAGAGTTGGGAGAATTGGTTGTTGGTGTGGAAAAAACCTACACATTTGGTGTTAGAAGTGTTATGAGTAAAAACTATTCAGAATCATAATCTTAGGTCCTAAAATTCTTCTAACCTACTGACCACAACAAATAATTGAATGGTCTTCAGATTTTTTAAGACCAATGATAGCATTTCATTTCTTCTGAATTTTATCTAGGGCTTTTGACATGATAATCTGCGGGAAACACTACTGCCAAGTGCTCAGTAAGTAATGAGATTCTATGACTAATAACCCAAAGAAAACTGAATAATAGAGCTATAAGTACGATTGCGGCTAGCCCCAAAGATTGTAATTTTTCTCTAATTGTGTACATGATATATATCATTTACATTTAAAACACCATATTGTAATATATAGCTGGGGGTGAATTACATTGCTGAAATGAAAAGGACAACTCATCTCAGGATCTAATGCTGTCAAATTACCCTCTGGTGAAGAGCCAAATTCCAGATCTAACTGAAAAAATTATATACTCTGATGTTTTGGAATGTTACACTGCCTGAACCTCTAGTTATAGTTTCATTTATATACAGATAAACCACTAAAGATTGTTATATACAATTCATACCTTGTTGAGAAAACTCTTCAGGACACTTGCAGCTTTTACAGACAGAGAACGTGGTATGCGTATTTGTTTTTCCAAAATAACTAGAAAGATAAAATTATGGCATTATATTTAACTTTTACATGGCTTCGATCTTTACATTTTTATTATGAGGTACATAAGGCATTCTAGCAGAAAAAATAAGACATTACGTCTATCACTTCAGCGTCTGCTTGTTTTTATCCAGTACGATTCTTTGTATTTCTAATCGTGGGCCCTTTTTTTTTCTTCCACCTTTTGATCCTCCTATATTCTTGGTACCCTACTTTTTCTCCATATTGTTCTTGGACTTATGCGCTCCCCCTCGGGGTCCATGTGAAAAGACTGTCCTCTCTAGCCACAGGATTGCTTCCTCCAATTTCTGTGGTATACAACCTGGATGAACCTCTTTGTTATATTTTTGAGTATGAGAAAGTAGTTGGCAAATGGACTGAAAGTACAGAGGTAGGAAGATTTTTTTTTTTAATTGAAGACTCACATATTAAGAAGTACACTGTCCAAATTATTTTCCTTTTTCTTACTCAAAGGAAAAACGTGAGCCATCCTCATTCATGCTCTAGAATAGGTTATTCACAGAGAATCTCTGTAAAATACTGTAAATTACCTTGGAAGAGATAATCCTCTGTGTTTTGATCAGGGTTATCAGAGCTTCCAACAATATCAAATGGAGATCTTCCTGCCATCATCTCAAACATTAATACTCCAAGGGCCCACCAGTCAACACTGAAACCTTCAAAAAAGAAATTTTTGAAGCAACAAATTATCTATTCTGCATTCTTGAAAGTAACTTGAGATTCATTTTATTATATACTGAAAAAATAAACATAATGAAAAACTAAACTCTACATGCATTATAACTATCCTGGTAGGCACCGAAGATTACAGGAATAATTCACTTATCAACAAGGGGAGGTACCTAAAAGATAACTTGAAAAACAAAATATTGGAGGGACACCCAAGAGTCAGTTAAGCGCCTGACTCGTGGTTTCAGCTCAGGTCATGATCTCAGGGAATGGGTTTGATCGCTGCATCGGGTTCCGGGCTCAGTGCCGTCTGCTTGGGATTCTTTCCTTCTTCCTCTCCCTCCCCCTCTGCCCCTCCCCCCTACCTGCATAGGCTCTCTCTCACTCTCCCTAAAATAAGTGAATAAAATCTTTAAAAATAAATTAAAAAAAATAAAATATTGGAAATGAAACATAAGTTTCTTTTCCCAAATATGCCTGTAATTTCAGACTCATGATCTGTTTCTAACATGTTGTTTTTGAGGATATAATTAAATTGTACTTGAGAATAACTTTCATTGGTCTGAAACCTGATCTTCTGCTAGCTGATTAAAGATCCTTGAAGGACCTTGGAATCAGATTATGAACAGCTGTCAGAAGTACCCATCCTCCTTTACATCTGCTGAAATCAGAGGGCCAGAACCCAAGAAGTCAAATGTGTTCTTAAGATAAATATATCCTCTGGTTCCTGACAAGCAGTCAATCTTTCCCTCATTTTTCAGATTCCTGGAGGAAACATCCCAGGAAATATGAACAATCTTCTAGGGGTTCATGACTCTGGAGTCACATGGCTAAAATGTAAATCCCTACTCTGCCACTTTCTAGCTGTATGACCTTGGGCAAGTTATTTAAACTTTCTGTAAAATGGGAATTAACAGTGCTTACCTCCTAGGATTATTGAGAGGCTTAATTAATATGTGTAAACTGCTTATCTTAGTGCCTAGTACTTTTAGTGTTGCCATTAATAAAATATTATTCAAATCTGTACCCCCAAATACTGCTAAGGTCCTACTGTCTCCAATTTCATAGTTTAGGGTTTTCATGTAGGTTTTAAGGGGATCAAGAAAGCTTATATTAATAAGATTAGTATTTAAATACTATAGTATAATATAATGCAATTGGTACCACATTTAACCACCCATCTAGCACATAGCTAAAATGCCACCTATTTTTTTATTACCATAATCTTCTCCTCTTAAAATTTCAGGAGCAATGTAATTGGGAGTACCACAAAAAGTGCTGGTTGTATCTCCTGGCCGTAATCCTTCCTTTTATAAAAAAAAAAAGAAAGAAAGAAAAGAAAAGAAAAGATATAATAAGAGAAAATTATCTTCTAAATTCATCTCTTTTATTTCATCTATTATATAAGCTCAGCATCTATAGGTAATATATTAAGGTTAAATAAAATACCACTAGCACAGTTCTCCATATTATTAAAATCACAGGTTGCCACTAAATAGCTTAAAGAAAACCTGTCCTCATTAAATGTTGGTAGAGTTAAGATAAAAATTGACCTTGAAATAATTTATAATTAAGTAAAAATTTAATACAAAAATTTAAATTGTATGAGTAAAAGGAATCATCATATTTTTGAAGAAAAGAAGCACTGTATATCCCATCTCCTCACACAAGCACTGCTGCCATAATGATGTTTTCCTTCTGATTGTTTTTCCTAAGGCATAAATTTTTTGGTTTTGTACTTCAATTGAAAAAAATTAAGCCAAACATACTAATGGGTATAAATAGAGAAACTACACAATGACAAATAGAACAATCACCAAAAAGTTATAACAAACTTGTATGCACCTAACAACAGTCTCAAAACACAAAGAGTAAAAATAGATAAATTAGGAGAATTTCACAATCCCTGCTATGGAATGAACGTTTGTATGCCCCCAAAATTCATATGCTGAAGCCCTAATGTGATAACACTGGGAGATGGGGCCTTTGGGAAGTAATTAGGTCATTAGGTTGGAGCCTAATCCTGATGGAATTAGTTATCTTTACAAGAGGAAGAGAGCTCCCTCTCTCTCTTTCTGCCATGTGAGGATACAACAAGAAGACACATCTGCAAACCATGAAGAGTGCCTTCACCACACACTGGTTCTGCTAGTACCTTGATCTTGGACTTCCCAGCCTCCAGAAGTGAGAAATAAATGTTTGTTGCTTAAGTCACCTAGTCTACAGTATATTGATATAGCAGCCTGAAGTGATAATACAATCCCCAATCATGACAAGTGATTTTAACACATCTATATCAGAAAATGACATATCATACAGACAAAAAAAATTTAGTAAGCAGAAAAAGATTTAGACAAAAGCTGGAGCTAAATATAATATACATACTTAGAGAATATGTATAATCTATGTGCATGTGAGGAGAAAGGGAGGAGAGAAAGAGAGAGTGTGAAGGACAGAGAGACTCCTTGCATGGAAACAAGAGATTATCTATCTTTTTTTAAGTACATGTGGGATACTGATCAAATACTAAGTCACAAAGGAAACCTCAATATATTTTCAAAGAACCTGTATCATTCAGACCATTTGCTGGCCACAAGGCAATTAAATAAGAAATCAACAATAAAAAGTTTAAAAACAAGCCAAATAATATTAAATGTACAATTAAACAAGCAAGAGAAAGACAATTCATTTTCATGAGTTTCATTGTTTAAGTAATGCATGCCCATTGTAGTAACTTAAAAAATATGTAAAAGTAAACAAAATAAATGTGTAATGCTACATAACAGAACAACACATATAGAATTAGACAATGCTCTACTTTAGAACTTTATTTAATGTTATATTATAAACACTTTACATTGTTATGAACTTTTGGTAAACATCTTAATGACTTCATAATGCTCTGTTCTGTAGTCATGCCATAATTTCCCTAATCATTCTCCTTACCAGTGGCCATGTAGATTATTTATAATATTTATCACAAACTATAATAAAAAACTTTGGTCATAAACTTTTCCTCATAGACCAAAATATTCACTCAGAATATCCCAGAAGCAGAAGTACTAGATAAAAGAGCATGGCTGTACATCTTTAAGAATTCTGATACATCACCACCAACTACTTTCCAAAAGACTGTAACAATGCATACATTCACCAATGATACAGGAGAATACCCACTTCTTTAAACTCTTGTAAGCAGACTACTATAATTTTAAAAACCAGTATCTGGCATGCAAAAATGAAGTCTCATTATTGTTTTAATGTGTACACTTTGTAACAAGGTTAGCATTCTTCATGGTTTTTGGTGTGGTTCAGCTTTGTTTTCCTCTGACAAATTATAAGACTTTTATATTATTGTCATTTTTCTTTTGAAATAAGAAAAAAATCCACTGGGGGAAAAAAAGTGACAGAGAGGGGTGCCTGGGTGGCTCAGCTGGTTAAATGACTGCCTTCAGCTCAGGTCATGATCCTGGAGTCCTAGGAGACGAGTCCTGCATCCGGCTCCCTGCTCAGCAGGGAGTCTGCTTCTCCCTCTGACCCTCCCCCCTTTCATGCTTGCTCTCTCTCATTCTTTCTCAAATAAATAAATTAAATAAATCTTAAAAAAAAAGATAAATGTCTGAGTTTTGTACCTAAAAGCAAAAATACTTTATAAAGATTTTCTTTTCTAATGTTGCCGAACAGATAATAAGGTCAAATCTTCAATACTATTAGAGTGTCTTAATGTTAACATTTAAATAATCTCCAACCTCTGGAGGCATTTCCCTCAGGTGAATGGGGGAGTGTAATTCATACATTTACATGTTTGTTGCCATATTACTGTGTGAGGATAATTCTGTCCCAGCTACTTTTAACAAGGAGAGTAGCTCCCTACACATTTTGTGCAAAAACACTCGACCCTTAAATGAAACACTGTTACAAAAAGAATAAAGTACCAAGAAATAAAGGATATTGTCCTGACAGTAACTGAAATTCTTATTTTGTTCTACTGTACCTTATGTCAGATATTTAAACCTTAAATATAAAAAATGATAGACTTCCTGGGAAAATCTTGAATGCATTATCAAGAGTTACAATTAAATGGCAAAGACTGGAAGGTGACATGCAAGTAGTTATGCTAAAGTCATGGGATTGCAGACAATTTTTATTTCCAAATATAAAATTTCTATAGTATCACAACATTCAAGATAAAAAGTTACAGACAATAAAAAGAAATTAACTCTTATTATAGTACATATAACACTCACAGAAAATACGGAATTTTGTAAATGGTTAGAAAGTATGTATGTTTGTCCTTGTGCTAAAATCCCAAAAAGTATCCCAAAGTAGCAGTCAGTTCCTCAACTTTAAATACTGTTATTTTACCAAAACAATTTTATGAGCTGCTGAGATCTTCTGATTAACTAGAAATTTCCCTCACCTTACACATGCCATAGTCAGTGAGTTTAATGTGTCCTTCTGAGTCCAGCAATACATTGTCCAATTTCAAATCTCTATAAATTATCCCTCGTTCATGAAGATAATTTAATGCCAGACTGATTTCTGCAGAGTAAAATCTAAAATGAAAAATAACTCATTTGATTCAAATTTTTAAATTGTGATAAGTTTCTAGAAGTCCTACCCCCACCTGCAAATGAAAACACCAAAATCATGTCAAAAGATTTTTTTCTCCCAATGTTTTTAGAAACAATACCAAATCACAAATTGAAGTATCACTTTAAAATATCTAAGCCCAAAAGATAATTATAAAAGTTCCAGTCTACATGAAACTCATACTTTTCATAAAATTATTAATTTGCAAGTCTTGAACAGAAGTTCTTAATCTGGGTCCTTGGCTAAACTTCTGCTGCTACAACCGGAGGCACAGTCGTATGTACATGTGTACTTTATAGCTCTTCTATAGGGTTTCCACAGCTTTCATCACATGATCTCCCCAAATGCTATGTAAGAGTCACTGATTGGTCTAGAACAGAAAAAATACTAAAAGTTCTACTCAAACTATAAAATCCATACCAAAATTCTAGAGAGGGAATTAAATTATTCTACAACCATACCATTTAATATTAAAGAGCTTTTTAGAATTGCCACTAACTCATTGGTGATAATGAGAACTTTTGACCTGAATAATGAAAATGAAACACCCAAGTTGGTTTATGGCTACTTTCGTTAATGTTACCGTGATCATGGTTGGAGGTGCTTAACACATACCTTCTCAGCTACTTAATTCTATGCATAGAGAACCTAAGCCTTTATTTTGCACTTTGGTTCCCAGAAAAGTAAAGATGAAATAAAAGCACTGGCACTTGAATACAGTAAAAACTACTTTCCCCAAGTCCAACTGAACAAACAAGGAACAAATACAGGCTGTGGTCACAATTAGAAATATCATTTGTGGCTTTGCTATGAAGGGTGATCATTTAACAAAGACTAAATACAGGAAATTAACAAAACAAAACACAGTTTGGTCCAAGATTAGATTAGTACAATTTCTACCTTATAAAATTGAAGGATATTATCTCTTTTTGACAAGAAATAATCAATGTCCTCACAAGATTTCCACAAAACAAGTATTTATAAAAATAATATCTTTAACCTTTATTACATGCATATACAAACTCATATGCTTCATTTTGGCATTACTTTTATGGAACACAAAAGGGTGAGGATTATTCCTAATTCTGAGTACAAAACAAAGCAATACATGGCACAGACGAATTAAACTTATCCAAGGCCATGATCCTTCCCCACCTAACTCCTCCAACATATAAGCAATTTACAATCTTATATAATAATAACAAATTAAAGACACAAAATAAACAAGTAAATAATATTTAATGATCTTTTCTCTTATTTATCAACAGGCATAAGATCAGAGGAAAAAAAAGTCAAAGGCAGAAAAATTCAGAAATTACAATTACAGGAAGAATAGTCAGAATTACATAATAGCTTAAGAGGAATTGTTCTATTACTCTAGTATATATAAATAATAATCAATGAAAAACTGTCAGAGATCACTGCAAACCTTAGATGAATAAGTGTAAATTCATCAATTATTTCAGTTGTGGATGTTGAATAGACAAAGTATTTTTAAATAACTGGGTTTAGTAAACTAAGGGTTCTCCCTTTAACACTGTTTATACTTTTCAACTGCTTATATTAATATATATTATAATGTAAACTAACTTTTAGCTTAGCCCCTACATGACTTACAAAAAACTAGCATCAAAAAAAATAATTTATCTAATCTTTTCAACCAGTGGCACATAAAAAGTCCCATAGCATTCCCTACCTCCAATCCTCCCCACCCCCTCCCACCCCCAGCCCCACCTCCAGCAAAAATCTAACACAAACAGTACATATTTACCTGGCATGTTCTTCAGGAAGTTTTCTTTGTCGCTGCATATGAAACATTAGATCTCCTCCATTTACATACTCTATGACAAAGAACAATCTAAAACACAGGAGAGACAAGAAGCAAAACAAATGAATGTGGGGTGGGGGGGAAGAGGCAAACCAAGGAACAGACTCCTAACTCTAGAGAACAAACTGATGGTTACTAGAGGGGAGATGGGCAGGGGCAGAGGCGGTAGGGATTAAGGAGGGTACTTGCAAGGAGTACCAGGTGTTGTATGAAAGTGTGGATACACTGTATCATACACCTGAAACTAATATCACACTGTATGTTAGTTAACTAACTGGAATTTAAATAAAAATTTGGAGGAAAAAAAAGTATTTTTTAATAAGAAAAAATCAGCAAGGCTTAAATCCAGGAACTTTACATGTCAGGCTTAAAAAAATAAATAAATACAGGAGCGAGCACATGAAACCAAGATCCAAAATAAGGCACTGTCACATTGCATTTTAAATACTACAGAGACCAGTTACAACCTAGAGAACATTCTATAAATTTACCCTTAACAAACATTCCAGGAATCTGGTAGAAACAAAGGGTAGCTGGAGTCGAAAGCTGTTTAATCACAGAAGATACAAGAAAATAAACCAGTATAATTGTGTAAACTGTTTCTTCTATTTGAAAGTAGTACCACTAGCAATCCAGAGCCTCTTGCTCTCACCCCAATTATAGCATTTGCAAGATAAGTCATTTTCAACTGTCACTTAGGGTAAAGAAGTTAGGATTTCTCCCTCTAGTTAAACTTTAGGAAACTTTAAGTACTAAAACTAGAATCTTGGAGATATTTATGACTTGGTCTTTCTTTCTTTCTTTTTTTTTTCTTTGCCTAAAGTGGGTAATTTCCTAATGCCACTCCAATGTTAAAATGATATCACTGACTGGAGTCTGAGTAGCAGGAAATTTTAAGCATAGTACTGTTGTGTCCATCTCCACATCTTCCACTTCAGGCTTACAGTAGAAAGCAGCTGTCATTGTGTAATAACACCAAAATGTGTAAAGCCCAGTAATCATTCCATTATCTTTCAATCTTACCTGCTTTCTGTCTGAAAGCAAGAATGCAGCCCAACAAGAAAAGGATGATTGGATGCCTGCTCAAAAACATGCTTCTCCGTCTGTACCCAATCAATATCCTATTTCAAAATATGGAAGAAATCTATGTCAAACTGAATTATCATCAAAACTATGATAAATGTTCTTAGTAATTCATTTACCACATACGCAGTTAGTAACTAGGCTAAATACCAAAAGCACTGATAATCATGAAACAAGAGCTTATATACAAATAGAGAAACACCACCAATAAATCTTTCAGTATTATGAAATGGTCTAAAAAACTTTTACAAAGCTCCTGTACTTTCCCTTGGTAATAATATGGTTTGATTTTTATTTTTTAAATATCTAGTAATCATCACATTACATTAAATCTATCTTATGTAATCTGTTTGAAGCATATATTTAGAATAGACTGAAATCATAAGACACAAACATTGAGGTTTTCTCTGAAATAGTACACCTAAGCCAATTTAACAGTTCAGAAATAATAAATCATTGTGCTTACCTCATCATCGTTGACCAGCTCTTTTTTCACAACTTTCATTGCATAAATACGATCTGTTTTTTTTAATCGCACCAATAGTACTTTGGCATAACTTCCTCTACCTATGACCCGAAGCAAATCAAAGTCCTGAAGACCTAAACTGGAGGAAGCTTTGCCACTTTCCCTGGTATTCATTGCCTGTCGAGAACATTTACATCAAAGAGTTATACCTAGAGGAATTTTGCATAATACATTATATTTCTAAGACCTGGTTATACCTAAGATGATTTTAAAATATCTTCTGATTTAAGTTCTTAATAATTCTTTTCTTACATCACATGATATAATCTAACTACGCAAGAGGTAGGATGAATTCATGAGTTGAGGTCAGAGGGATAGTGACAGGAAGTTGATATCCGAGAAGTGTTAAAGGGTACTTTAAGATCTGATAAATTTTGGGTCTGGAGGCAATGAAGATACATGAATTTAAAAAATGACACTAACCTTGATGACTGGGAGATTGGAGGTACTACTGACAGAAAAACAAAGTGTGCACAGAGGATGAGACTGACAGAGCTGTGGAGATAACAGGCTTGGTTTTTCATCCTGAAGATACAAGCTACAATGGGCTATCAAGACTAAGGAGTCTACTGGAAGCTTGATAGATGACACCTGAACTAATGGGAGGACACATTCAGAGACATTTTTAGAAGCTATAGACAGAAAACAAGCATGAGGCAGCTTAACTAATGGAAAACATTCTTTTCTACACAGTACCAAGGCTCCTTTGGAATGAGAAAATTAGCCTTTTAATTCATTTACAATTAAAAAGTTAGGCTTCTGGTAATTTATAGAGAAGACCGAAGATAATCATTTTAAACCTATCTGCAAAATTCTCCACATACCATCAACAGATGTACCCATAAGAATTAAGTATCAATTTTCTCAAGTAAGGAGTATCAAGAAAAGCAAAGAGCAAATTTTAAGAAAAACGAGTAAGCACAAATCGGAAAAAAAAAATATGAAAACTGAAGGAGAATGATTTTTCAAGAGAAGGGTCATTTACGAAAATCTAGAAATAAAAATCTGATATGGTAACAAGGATAAATAAAGAGGAGTGAAAGAAATCAGATTAGAGCAGATTAAGAAAGCACAGAATGGTAAGAAGATAAGACAATACACAGACTTTAAATATGGTTAACTGGAAACTATAAAAGAGAATGGCATGACTGAATTCTGTTCTGCTAGCATTCACTCCCTCTGGATCTTACTGCTTACTTGCTCCGATGAAATGAAGCAAGCTACTTTGTTGTAAGCTGCCTTCCAGAGAGGCCCAGGCGGCAAGGAACAGAATCCTGCCAACAATTAGGTAAGTATGGAGCGGCTTCTTTCCCAGTCAAACTTTGAGATAAAAGCAGTCCTTGCCAGCACCTGTATGTGATTCTGGGGCAAAGGACCCAGATAAGTCATGCTTAGATTCCTGACCCATAGAAACTATGACATTATAAATCTTGTTGTTTTAAGCCACTAAATTTTGAGATTATTTGTTACATAGCAATTACCTAACATAAGGACTTTAAGGCAAAAAGCATTACTATAAACAGAAAGGGATATTTCATGATGAAAAAGCATTAATCCAATAGAAGATATTCTGATTCTAAATTTGTATGTATTTAATAACATGGCCTCAAATATATAAAGCAAAAGCTAACAAAACAAACAAGGAACAGACAAATCTATAATGTAACCTTGTGGTTGAGAAAGAGCAAGCAGTCAGTGAGGTAACAGAGATGGAATAACATTGTTAATAATCCTGACCTAACTGACCTGTACAGAACACCACACCCAATAACTATTAAACATACTGTATTTGAAAATACATATGGAACATATACCAATGCCTATGTGCTTGGCCTTCAAGCAAGTTTCAACAAAATTTGAAGGACAGAAATCACATCCAATGCATTTTCTGATTTGTAGAGGAATTAAGTTAGAAGTTAAAAAATTTTCCAAGTATGTAAAAATCAGTATACTTTAGAGTTATGTTCTGATCAAAGAAGAAATCATAATAGAGATTAAGATATACTTTACAGTGAATGACAAAAAAGCATAAGGAGATAATCAGAGGAGAAATCAATGCACTAGAATAGTAAATAAGCATTCAATAGAGAAGAACCAAAAGTTAGTTCTCTGAAAAGACATAAATTGATATCCCCCTAGCAAGAATGATGAAGAAAAAAGGAAAGCACAATAAATTTTATCAGGAATAAAAAAGGATGTCATTTCATATTCTCAGAAATGGAAAACTTTATGTCAATAAAAATCTGAAAATTTAGGTTAAACAAATTCCTAAGAATAACATAAACGCAAGACAAAATAGAGATATCTAAATTGTCCCAGATCTATTCAGACATAAATTACAGAATTAAAATCCTTCCCACAAAGAAAACTCCAAGCCCAGAGTGCTTTTCTGATGAACTTTTTAAAAAATATAAGAAATAATGCAGGGCGCCTGGGTGGCTCAGTCGGTTAAGCATCTGCCTTTGGTTCAGGTCATGATCCCAGAGTCCTGGGATCGAGTTCTGCATTGGGCTCCCTGCTCCATGCGGAGCCTGCTTCTCCCTCTGCCTCTCCCACTTCCCCAGCTTGTACACTCTCTCTGCCAAATAAGTAAATAAAATCTTTTAAAAAAAAGAAAAAGAAAGAAAGAATGCAACCTTATAGGAATTCTTTTTAGAATACAAAAAATTCCAAAATCATTTTATAAATGACACCAAAACTAGGCAATCCAATTTAAAACAGGGAAATTACAGGTCAATGACTCGCATTAATATTTAAAAGAAAATAAAAAACAAAACCTAAATATTGGCAAATCAGATCCACCAGTATATAAAAGAATTATATATCATGACACACATGGAGTTTATTCCAGAAATGAAAAATAGGCTCAACAATTGAAAATTAATGAAATTTACATATGATCAACTCCACAAATGTCATAAAATGTTTCTGATAAAATCCAACATCTTGTCATGATAAAGACACAAGTCTTAGAAAACTAGAAATAGAAACAAACTCCCTCATTTTGATAAGGGGTATCTATAAAATAAAAACCTGTAGCAAACATCAAACTTATTGATGAAATACTAGATATTTCTTCTGAGATATATAACAAGACAATGATATCTGATCACTACTTCTTTTCAACATCATTTTGGTCATCTGTAGAGGTCCTTGCTAAGTCAATAAGGCAAGAAAACTACAAGTCTATAAGATTTGAAAAGGAAGGAATGACACTGTTATTCACTGATAAGATGATCATACATGTAGAAAATCTAAAGGTACCTATAGATAAGCTATCAGAATTAATAGGTAGCAAGGTGTTGGGATAAAAGGCAATTTAGGAAAAAAAACCTTATTTCTATATAACAGTATTAAATAGACAACTCTATTTTAAAATAATACCATTTAGGGGCGCCTGGGTGGCTAAGCCGTTAAGCGTCTGCCTTAGGCTCAGGTCATGATCCCAGAGTCCTGGGATCAAGTCCCACATCGGGCTCCCTGCTCAGCGGGAAGCCTGCTTCTCCCTCTCCCACTCCCCCTGCTTGTGTTCCCTCTCTCGCTGTGTCTCTCTCTGTCAAATAAGTAAATAAAATCTTTAAAAAAAATAAAATAAAATAATACCATTTACATCCAATACCTATAGTTCAAGGACTTTGAAAACTATAAAACATTGCCAGAATTTAAGGAAGACCTAAATAAGTGAAGGAATATATCATGCTCATGGTTTGAAGATTTCATATTGTAACGATGTCACTTTTTCTGAAATGTATCGATTGGTCTGGTTTATTTGCTTGATTTTGTGGAAACCAGCAAACTGATTCTAAAATTTACATGGAAATTCAAAAAGCCAGAAAGAGTAGCCAAGATAATCCCCAGAACAGCAAAGCAGAAGAATTTTACTAGGTAGACTTATTATAAAGCTATAGTAATCATGAAGCATGATATCCGCTAATAATAAAATAACAAAAAATAAAAGAGAATCCAGAATTATATCATGCAATGAGCATATAACTGATGAAGAGATAGCTTTGCAGAGTAATGGGGGAAGGTACAGCCTTTTCAATATCTTCAATAACCTTGGGAAAAACAGATTTCTTAAGGCCCAAAAGCACTACCAAAAAGGAAAAGACAAATGTATTTCACTACATTAAAAATCAAGTACATCTATTCATCAAAAGATACCACTAACAGAGCGAAAATACTAGCCATAGAGTGGGAGAATATATTTGCAAATATAACTGACAAAAGGCTAATGTCAAGAAATACAAAGAAGTCCTTTAAATCAACACAACAAAGACCACTCATTTAAAAAAAAGACACCTAACTAAAAATGATACCCAAATGACCAATAAATATATGAAAAATTGTGCAGCAAGGAAATGGACATTAAAAAACTATAATGACTACCACTACACATTCAACAGATTCACTAAAATTAAAAAGATAGACCATATAAAATGCTGACAGATTTGTGGAGCCAATCGAACTCACACATTATTGGTGAAAGTATAAATTGATACAAGCACTTTGGAAAACTGGTATTATCTACTAAAGTTCAGTTACTCATGACTCAGGAATTCCACTCCTAATTATACACCTAACAGAAATGTTTATATATGTGTGCCAAACTCCACTTATAAGAATGTTCATACAGCATATCATAATAATCCCAATCGGGGGGGGATCAATAGTAAAGTACATAAATTGAAACAACAGTGAAAATAAGTGAAATACAACTACATGAAACATGACTGAATCTCACAAACACAATATTGAGCAAAAGAAGCCAGACACACACACACAAACTACATACTGTATGAATCCATTCATATAAAGTTTGGGGAAAAAGCAAAATTAATCTCTGGTGTAAAGACCATAGTGAGAAGGGGGTGTTAGTGACTGGGAGAAGGCACATGATGGGCTTATGGGATATTAGTAGATTCTATTTCCTGATCACAGTGGTCATTACACAGTGTCCACTCTGAAAATTCATCTAGCTATATACTCATGGTTTGTGTACTTCACTGTATGTCATTCTTCAATTTTAAAATATATTACAAATCTTGATGATACAAGCAAATGAGTCTTTGGAAAACAACCAAATCAATAAACAATAACAATAAAGTCAATGAGAAACTCCAAAAAGAACAAAAAGCTGTAAAAAAGTGTCAAGGATTGAAAAGAAATATTAGCAGTTCATGTGCTAGAAGAATAGAGAATTCATTCCTTATTATTAGGAATTTCTTCTTTTGAATGATTCATTCAAGTTGTGAACAAAATATGGAAGATGTAGTTACGGTTGCAGGACAGATTATAAACGTTAACAACCTTGGCAATGTAAAAATAAATGTGTATGTAAAAGAGGAAAGTTGGAAGAAAGAGAAGGAATAGCTAAAGGAGAGTCAAAGTATTGACTTAAATAGAACAAAAAACTAAGATATGAGATTAAATACAGAATCAACAGATGTGTCTCAAGATAATACAGGAGTGAAGGAAGTGGGTAGACAAAACAACACTGGCTGTATACTGATAATTTGTTTTATCTGGGTAATGGATACAGGGGCTTTGTTATACTATTCTGTTTACTTTTAATTACATTTGAAATCTTCCATAATAAAACGTTGGTTTTTTTTTTTTTTTAAGGTAACCAAGAGTAAAACATAATGCACCTATCAAACGAAAGAGAAGGGAAAAGGGGGAGGTACTGTGAACTAAATCTTTATGGCCTAAAATACATAAAGTTGGAAAACTGAAAAACAGAGGTATAAACATTATAGGCACAACTAGAAATGATTAAAAACAGTTGCCTCTCAGAAGTCAAAGTGGGAGTCGAAGGTGTGAGGCATGATAAATCTTTTTTACTACAAGCTTTTTTTAAAAATATATATATAATTTTAATTAGACATTTTAATAAAAATCTATTGTTTTAAAAGCTGATCAAATGTTTAATAGAAAAAATAGCAGTTAAGATGCGTATCATTTATACTTTAAATAAACAATTAGCTCATAAAATGGAAGGATTTATAATATATCTTAACAATACTACCAAGTATTCTAAACGTCATTCTTAATTATATTTTTTAGGTTATGCTATTTTAAAATGAAATAAGTTATCCCTGTATGCTATTAAATTTTATTTTCTCTTGTTAAAAAAAGAAGTTATCTCACCAGATTTAATTTAAATGAAATTAATAATTAATAGATTAAATCAGAATAAAACTCTAGCATCATTAAACATCATTCCTGCATTTTACCATTATGATTTAAAATCTAAGCAATTGTCATATTTTCTAACTGTCAAGTCTTATTAAAAAGCTGATGATGTAATATAAAATAAAACTAATCATCTTACCTCCTTTTCTTCACCAACTTGGTCCAAACTCTCATGACTTGAAGGATTATATGGAATTACTGAAAACCCAATCCCAAACATGGGGGGAAAAAAAAAAGAAAAACATAGCACCCATTAACTGAGTTTGACTTAAAATGTTCTCATGATTTAAGTTTTTATTTCAGAATAAGTTTTCATTATTTAAAATTGAGTATCTGTCTACTAGTAATAAATTGTATGTATTCGTGAGTTAAATCCTAATCTTTAATGAGGGGAGAGCAAGAACCAATTAGCAGCCAAGTACTGATTTTAACAAATATTTTTGGTATTTTGAAAATATTTCTCCTCTTCACAAATTAATCAATTCCTTCTATAAGGGTGACTCTATAAATCTTATTCAGTTATTTTAGTATGACTGAGGCATAGAGATAGGGGCCTTTGGTTTTTATTCCTCACTTCCCTCATACTCAAAATGTTCCTAACTACCAAACCACATAGGTCAAGTAAAGAACTAACAAAGATTGAACTCTAGGTATCTATTCCTTAAAGCTACTTCAGGCAAAAAAAACCCCCCACATTTCATATAACCAGCTTCTTGAATGAACAAGAAACTATATTCTGTCCTTCCAGAAAAACTCCCTCACGTTCCCTTTCTTGATTCCTCTGAGATCAGTATGCTCTGCCCAGTTAATTGCTCCCCAAATTTCACAGATACATATTTAAGGTTCTGTATCAATTTGACATCTGAGCTCACATGATCTTTTTTGAATTTTCAATACTGCATCTTTGTGTCTTTTACATAATTTCACTTCTGATAATAAAGCTTTTAATAAAAACAGATCACCTGAACATTCAACATGACCCACAAAATCAGTATGTTTCATTATTGAAAGAAACTGATTTGCTCAATTTTAAAAAAAGTCTTAGAAGAAATTTATCTGAATTAGAGAAAAGAGTCATTTGCTGTAGTTTACACAGTTGTCTTCTTAAAATGCCAAAGGTATATGTTAAATATTGTGACTGACAGTACCACTGCAAAATAGGGTTAACTAACTTTTATTTGAGAAGAACATAACTGGTTTTAAACTCAAGTTAAAGAGTCACCTAAAGAAGTCTTTAAATGATACTCTGTGGATGAACAATGGTTCCTACCAGTGTCATTCTTACCTGTCTGTGCATGGTCTGAATGCATGGATGACTGGTCCATGGGCATCATTGGTTCCTGCAAACATTTCCAAAGACACAGTAACTGAGTGGGTTCTTTCTAAATCCCAATACCACTATAAATTCAGAAACATTATTTCAACGAGACACAGCATATTAAAATTTAAACTTGAAAGAATATAACTTGGGGCGCCTGGGTGGCTCAGTCAGTTAAGCATCTGCCTTCAGCTCAGGTCATGTTCCCAGGGTCCTGGGATGGAGCCCTGCATCGGGCTCCCTGCTCAGCGGGGAGCCTGCTTCTCCTCCCACTCCCCATGCTTGTGTTCCCTCTCTCGCTGTCTCTCTCTCTGTCAAATAAATAAATAAAATCTTTAAAAAAAAAAAAGAATACTGAAGAATATCAACAGTCACCTAAATAAATTATGTTCACAATTTTTGGCCTTGTTTTTTTCCTAAAGATGAGATTTTCACCTCCCTAACGACAAACCCACCCCTAGGCTTATATGAACTAGCTAAATAATTCTAATACCAAAGAGCCACCAATAATAACCTACATTCACAATGTCCAAAGAAGATACTATGAATAAATATGGTGTACTCATTCTAGAAGACAATTTAGAAAGATGCATCCAGATTTTTTTTTTTCAGGTGGGGTAGGGAGGGACAGAGGGAAAGGGAGAGAGGGAATCCTAAGCAGGCTCCATATGCAGCGTGGCGCTCACAACCCTGAGATCATGACCTGAGCTGAAATCAAGAGTCAGATGCTTTAACTAACTGAGCCACCCAGGCCCCTGCATCCAGATCTTTTTTTTTTTTTTTTAAAGATTTTATTTATTTATTCATGAGAGACGGAGAGAGAGAGAGAAGCAGAGGGAGAAGCAGGCTCCCAAGGAGCAGGGAGCCCGATGCGGGACTCGATCCCAGGACCCTGGGATCATGACCTGAGCCGAAGGCAGACGCTTAACCATCTGAGCCACCCAGGCGCCCCGCATCCAGATCTTTTTAAAAATGCATATCCTTTAAGCCATTAATTTACTTCTGGATCCTTAAGGAAATAGTAAGATTTATTTACCAGAAAGTTCATTATGATTTTCTTTACAGGAAAATGTAGAAAACTCAAATGTACAATCATGGGGAACAGGTTAAGTAAATTATGACCTAGATATATAACAAAATATTATTCTAAAATTGATAAGGATATAGATATGGAAAGGTGACCAAGATATAAAGTGAAAAAAATGGGTTAGAAAACTATATATATGATCTCACTTTTGTTAAAAACTATGTAAAAGAATGAGACTCAAACATTATGCACATTCTGATAAACAGTCCACCTTCTATGAAGCAGTCTCAAAACAATCTATAAAACTTCTAGATCCAAGTGTAATACACAGAAATTAAAGAGGACAGGGGAACATTTTAAACATAACCATAAAGAAGCAAAGAGAAAAATACTGCAACACTTTAAATGACAACATAATTTCTTCTATATTTAAATTTTAAGGGGTGGGGGAAAGAGATGGAAGAATCAGTAAGTTAAAAAATATCTAGGACACATTATCAGTCAACTGCAGATATGGACTACATTTAGATCCTGATTCAGAATGAAAACTGTAAAAACAAAATTTTCACATTTATGAGGCAAATTAAATTTTGAACATCAAACAAGGAATTTGCTTTTTAGTTTTTAAAGAGTCCTTCTCTTTTAGATTTGTTTCAAAATAATACAGGATGAAAGCAGGTTATATGGGTGGAGGCATAGCTGAAATAGGACTGGTCATGAGCTGGTACCTATTGAAGCCGGGGGACTGGTATACGGAAGTTCATTATACTGTTATATCTACAAAAATATTTAAAACTTTTCCATATAGAAATTTTCTCTATGGAAAATTTTATTTATGCATATAAATTTGCAAAGAAAAAGTTCTGGAAGGACATACACCAGAAGACAATTACCTTTAGACAGTAGATCTCATGGGGAATTTTTATGTAATTTTTCTTTATCTATATTTTCTATTATGAACATGTTGTAACTGCATATTTAAAATAGAAAGTGAGGGGCGCCTGGGTGGCTCAGTCGTTAAGCATCTGCCTTCGGCTCGGGTCATGATCCCAGGGTCCTGGGTTCAAGCCCCGCATCAAGCCCCACATCGGGCTCCCTGCTCAGCAGGAAGCCTGCTTCTCCCTCTCACACTTCCCCCTGCTTGTGTTCCCTCTCTCGCTGTGTCTCTCTCTGTCAAATAAATAAATAAAATCTTTAAAAAATAAGAAATAAAATAAAATAGAAAGTGAAAAAAGAAATTTTAAATTCAAAAACTCCCCAGTAATCGCACACTTTAAATAGCAAACATGAAGCCTCTGACTGTTCTTAACTGATCTCTGTTTAGCGTAGATGCTAAAACAATGAGAGCTATAAACTAGTGAGTTTATCTTAAGAGAAAAAAGTCTCTTAAATAGTTCTCCCTACCTCTTCCTAATTTAACCAGATGATTTTGTAGCAGATTAAATCAAGAAGTTAACTACATACCACAAACAAATTTATAATAACAATTCCAAAACTCACAATACATCAACTGGACTGTAAAGTTACATTCTGTAACAACGCTGTTGAACTGTGATTCCTTACCACCTCTGTATTTTAGCCCTCTGTCCTAGCAGTGTTACTGAAAATGTTCTGTTAAAATAAGACAGTTGTGTCTTACCGGTGGCATAGAATGCCGCCCACATTCGATTGTGACAAGTTTGTGGCACTTCTTATGAACCAGGAGTTTGCAGTTGATGCACTTATATCCCTGACGTCCAAGTCCCCATATTCGGTCAGTACAGATGGCACAGTGGGCACGCTGGAAGGAGTAATTCAGCACTATTTTATTAACAAATAAAAAGTCATAATCATTTGCCAACAGTTTGCTGATAAAATAGTGAAAATAAGGGGTGGCTGGGTGGCTGAGTCAGTTTAAGTGTCTGACTCTTGATCTTGGCTCAGGGCGTGATCTCAGGGTGGTGAGAATCTAGCCCTGTGCCGGGGCTCCACGCTGGGTGTGGAACCTGCTTGGGATTCTCTCTCTTCCTCTCCCTCTGCCTCCCACCCCCACCCACCCACTCTCTCTCTCTCTCAAACAAACAAAGTGAAAATAAGTGGCTTTCTTCTCTAACTCAATTCCCTTCATCATACATAACTTTTCCAAAGCTATGATGGTCACAGAAAAATTTAAAAAAAGAGTTTTATTTGCAAGAGTGAAATCTGCAACCATGTTGTTTTCTGTTATAAGTTCAAGAATTTTTAGTCTTCACATAAACTCAGAGTATTGAAAATAGTAAAAGTGAATTAAACTTGAAAAACATAGGCAGAAAAAGCTATGCAAGGACTCCCAAGCAAACATAAACCTTCCAGACCGGTCAGAGGTCAAACCAAAGCCCTGCTCTCAGAGCAATTCCTGAAGTGACTTGCTCATTTCAAAGCTTTGTAAATATCAGGACTACTGGGAAAATGATTTTGGGAACCTCAGGGCCTAGCTTTTATTTACGTAAATGAATTCAGAACATGGTACTACTTTTACAATGGAAATGGGGGTCCATGTACTTGTAGATATCAAGAGTAGTTAAGAACAATCGACTTCTTTCAAACCTTGGCTCTGCCACTTACTAGCTGTGTCATCTTGGGCAAGTTATTTAACCGCCCCACACCTCAGCTTTTTCATCCATAAAACAGAAATACATAGTACCTATCTCACAAGGCTGTTGTAAAGATTAAATGGGTCAACAGATGTCAAGCATTTGGAAAAGCACCTGGTACATAGTAAAAGCTAGGTAAATGGTTTGCAGTTATTATTTTTGAAACAGTGAAAGTTAAAATTACATTAAAAGGTTTGCAAAATAAACTTTGCTTATTTTCTGGTTGCCTGGAATTATAGTAAAAAAGCCAACTTTCTTTTAGCTAAGGTAACTATATAATTCAGTCAGGGGTATTTTTAAGAATGAAAGGAGATGCTATTAAAAATTATCTCAAGATAACAGGGATACTGCCCCAGGCAAACTGGGGATGTTGTCACCCTACTGACTCCTTTAAAAGGGAAAACAAGACTACCTTTCTTTCACAGTAGTGAGGAAAAAAATAGATATCTCAAATTATTAATATTTAACAAACTAAGGTTTACCCTGTTGAAACGCTTGGCTTGAAAAGTGTGGCCATTTGCACAATAAAGCTTTCTCCAGCGGCGTGCACCTCTGCGGTAGATGGATTCTAAAGAGAGATAAAAAGTGAAAAAAAGAAAAAAGAGCAACTGTGAATAAAAGTCTTTTTATAATTAAGTCTGTGATTTTTTTCATGATATTCACTTCAAGAAAAAAATATTCTGATAAAAACCTGAAAGTGAAAAAATAAAATAGATTCACCAAGGGACTAAAATGAAAACAAAGCCCATGGAGTAAAAATGTATTAAAAATTACTATTCAGGCTTTTCTGTCTTTTAATTTTCCCCCCAATTTTTGGGCACCTAGATGGCTCAGGCGATGAAGCGTCTGCCTTCAGCTCAGGTCATGGTCCCAGGGTCCCGGGATCGAGTCCCGCATCAGGCTCCCTGCTCAGCGGGGAGTCTGCTTCTCCCTCTGCCCCTTCCCACCCCCACTCCCCACTCATGCTCATTCTCTCACTCTCTTACAAAAGAAAATAAATAAAATTAAAAATAAATTCCTCCAACCTTTAATTCTGAAAAATCTTAAGCCCACAGAAAAGTTGAAAGAACAGAATAATAAACAGCTGCATCCTTCACATAGACTTACCAATATCTAACATTATGCCACATTTGCTTTCCTCTCTATACACACGTCTTTTTTATGTCTGCATCAGTTAAAAATAAGTTGCAGATATAACACTTCACCCTTAAACACCTAAGTATCCACACACTGCCTTAGATTAAGGGCGTTTCCCCTAATTCTACTTAACCCTAATACCATTACCATGTCTTAGAAGATCAACATTAATTCAATATCACCTGATAGACAGCTCAAATGCAAATAGCCCTGTTTGCCCTCAAAGTATCTTTCATAGCTTTCTTTTTCTCTCCAGGATCCAATCAAGACCCAAGCATTGCCTTTGGTTGCTATACCTTTTTTGTCTCTTGAATGTATGCTGAAACGGTCATGCTGCCATATTTGCTGTTGTTTATTCTTTGTGACGTTGATTTTTTTTTTTTTTTAAAGAGTCCAGGCAGTTGTCTTATTTTATGTCCTACGTTCTGGATTTGTTTGTTTCCTCATTAGAATCAGTATCAAATATTTTTGGCAAAAATAATGTATAGGTGATATGTATTGCTTGTATCACATCAAAAGATAAACAAATGTCAGATTGCTGACTCCCAGTTCAATCACTGTTAAAGACAGTGATTGTTTCTTCTCTTCATTGTAAAGGTACATTTTACTTACTTTCATAGATGCTCTAAAAGGGACACTTTGCAACCACATGAATATCTTCCCCATTAATCTTTTTTTTTTAGAGGGGGAGGGGGCAGAGGGAGAGGGAGAGAGAGAATCTTAAGCAGGCTCCCTACCCAGCACTGAACTAAGGTGGGGCTGATCTCATAACCCTGAGATCATGACCTGAGCTGAAATCAGATCAGAGGCTTAACAAACTGAGCCACCCAGGCATCCCTCCCCATTAATCTTTAATCCAATGGTTTTTATATTAATACTTTTTCTAAACAAACTAAGAGGTTCCATAAGACCAAATCTAGTTGACCTGTGTAATTCTGGTTAAGTAAGTCAATCACTATTATACATATTGTCTATTAGTCATTAATATTCCACAGTGATAGTTAATACTAGTAGAAAGAGTCCACTAGGTTTCTAAACTCATATTTTAAAGCAGATGTAGCACTGGGTTTACCATTTAAAATTAAGATAGAAAAAAACGAGTTGAAATGCTCTGAATTAGAAATCTTAAGATAGCATAATACAGAACTGTAAATACAGATGCTTGGGGTGCCTGGATGGTTCAGATGGTTAAGCGACTGCCTTCGGCTCAGGTCATGATCTGGGGGTCCTGGGATTGAGCCCCACGTTGGGACCCCCTGCTCAGCGGGGAGTCTGCTTCTCCCTCTCCCTCTGCCTCTCCCCCTGCTTGTGCTCTCTCTCTCTCAAATGAATAAATAAAATCTTGAAATAAATAAATAAATACAGATGCTTTTATTTTTATTTACTTATTTACTCTGTTAGGAGTAACCAAAGCAGAAAGTTTCTGTTAATCGTATCTTAACCTAGGGGTGCCTGGGTAGCTCAGTCTTTGATCCATCCATCATTGGAACTCTGGCAAAATATTCTTAACTGAATCCAAACCTAAATTTTTCACTATTGCTTCAGGGTTCTACCTACTTCCTTAAATTTCCCCATTTCCTATATAGTACATGGCCCCCATTCAACTCTATATAAATACTCATAGTTCTTTAATTTTTCCTTTTCACCAAGTTGCAGGAAGAGTCACAGAACTGGGGCGCCTGGGTGGCTCAGTCGGTTAAGCATCTACCTTAGACTCAGGTCATAATCCCAGGATCCTGGGACTGAATCCCACATCGGGCTTCCTGCTCAGCAGGGAGCCTGCTTCTCCCTCTGCCTACCGCTCCCCCTGCTTGTGCTCTCTCTCTTTTTCTCTCTCTCAAATAAATAAAATCTTAAAAAATAATAACAACAAAAGAGTCACAGAACTAAAAGTTTAGAACTACTTTACTTAATTCAAAGGAAAACACTATTCTTTCTAAAGTCATGGCCATGTGCAGAAACCACAAATGAAAATGAGTAAAATCCACAACTAATAAGTTATACTGAATATCAAAAGCAATAACTTATGATTGTAAGTAAGTTTACATATTTAAGTTCCATCAGACCAGATAGTTGACTCTTTCAGTTCTTCTCACTAATGATAACTATCAGCCTAGACATTCAAAAGAAAATCGCTAACAATTTCTAACTACACATGCTCAAGTATTTAGAGAGGAAGCATCATGTTACTTTCAAATGGTACACTAAAAAAATTAAAATAAAACAAGCATGTTTCTTATGTATATACATGTATGCCTATGTGTGAACACATACAGATGCAGAGATACAGCAAACACAGAAAATGTTAATAATTGGTCAATGAAGGCAAAGGATATCTTTGTGTCTTTGTTTTCAATGTTGTTTCAACTTCGCCATAGGTTTGAAAATTTCCAAAATTAAAAACCAGGAAGGAACATGACTTAAAATTCACTTAATTTTCCTTTCAAATGCACAACAGACACTTACGTCAGTAACTTGTAACTAAGAACTGCCTGATTTTCATCTGGCAAAAGCGAGAATTTAAGCAGTTGCTAAGATAGTCTAAATTAGACTGAAGAATGGAAAAGAAATCAAATAGACTAAAAGTTCTATTTCTGATTTCCTTTCACTTGTGCCATTGTGCCATAAGTAACTCTACACTCAAAGATATGAAGTATATACACACTCACTGTCTTCTCCTGGACAGGGCATTCCAGGACGTTCTGGTACACAAGGGAAGACTGAAAGAAAAGAAACTAAAATTAATATAGCAAATTTAAAACATACAAATTACATAGGATTTTAATTTCTAATATCAAAAAAATCGGCCCAAATTTCAACCTGACCCTCTCTTAGCATGTGGTCAGTAATATTTTTTCAAGGGATTCATTTATCAAGGCTATATGAAAGAAGTTTTCATGAAAGTGAACGGTCAAAATCAAGCACACTAGAAGCTCAAATTTTTCATGCTAGTCCCTGTTATGTTACCAGTTGATTTTTTTTTGTCCTTAATCATTAACTACTATTTCCCTAAATCTTTGTTGTACTGTCAAGTTTGCTACAACGAAGAATTAAAACTGAATTACAAAAATATATACAAATATGAACATAAACCATTACAGTTCTTAAAAGATGAATTTAGGAAAACTGAATTTAGGAAAAAATTTACACCACTAAGAGTACCCAAATCCAAAAAAATGTAAGTTTTACCTTAGGAACTATAAATTTATAAACAGGCTAATTCAGACCATTTTTATAAAGAGACAGAATATAAAGACATAGTGTATTTATGAACTAGCCAACTATTTGTAGTCTGTGATGTACAAAAGGACATGGCTTAAAAAAAACACAAAACACAATGTATGGGAAGCACAGGTCCCAATATATTCTTAAAAGTTGAAATATAAGCTAACTTCTGAAAACAGTTCTGTGATATGGTATAAAAATAATGAAAACTTAAAACAAACTGTTAATACTATTGATCAATTCACTTCTTTAAACATTCACTGTAGTTTTATTCTACAAAGAGATGACTCTAAAAATGGATGACTTCTGAAGTTCTGCTAGGACCTCAATAAGTTAGATTATGGATCCCTTACGAGTCACTATGTCAAACTCTGAAGGTAGAAAAATATTAAGCTACTGATTTTTAAAAAACACACTATAAAGAAAAGTACACGGGAATCATAACAAGGGGCTGACTCATTATACTTATGGGAGATTTATATTTGTTCAAGTTTTAAAGAGTTCTGTACGTCTGGTCTCCTAAAAATGTTACATGAAATATTGCCAATGAAATGCAATATATAATTGGGTTTTACATGATATAAAAAATTTGAGGGGTAGCATAGTAGAATGAAAAGAACATTGACTTGGAAGCAGAATACCTAGATTTTATACCCAGGTCTACAATGCACCATTACATGATGGCTGAGTTTCGTCTCTTCTATACCACTACCCAGCTTGTGGGCCTGCAGATGTTTAACACACTAATCTCCATAACTATGTAAGTAGTTTCACTGTTAACCCTCAAATGAAAGAAAGGACATTTCAGATACCTTCTCTTTGGAGATTATTATTTGCATACATTACCAAACTGCAAGGGAATGACTTAAAATTCTACTAGGCACTCAATTTTAAATTCTCTCCTAAACTTTGCTGTGAAACACTTGAGAGATAATCAGTTTAATATCCATGAAGGCATACCCAAATAACAAATTTCCCAATATTATAAGACGATTGATTTTATTTTCTCTAGCATTTGAGAAGCTACTAAATAAGAACAATTACATAGCAGTGAGGGATAGAGATTAAGAAAAAGACATCAGAATTATGTTTTAAAATGGTCAAGAATATTCGGTTATTTAAAAAAAATTATAGCTCTAGAAGAGTAAGAAATGACTACTCCTTTACCATGAATCAAGAGTTCAGAATCCTTGTTTAGCTCATAAAGCCTAAAGGCTTCTTCTAACTCCAACTGAGATGATACTGTACACGGGTCCCCTAAAAAATATAAAAAATAAAGCAAACCTCACTTTTTAAATCCTCTAAAATGTAATGTTTAATAAACAAATTTCATTGCATAAAATCTTGAGCAATAACAATTTCCATTATATAAAATCTTGAGAAAAACAACTATATATATATACATAGAGAAGTATTTGACAAGGACAAACTTTAGATATTTATTTAGACAATTCTATTTTCTAAAGTAGGTAACATAACTTCCATTTCTATCACTACAAAATATTACATGAGGCTCATTGATACCAAATTTGATACATATAAAAACCACTTAATTCTCAATAACATGTATATTCAAAATATAGCAAACGAATCTACCCTGACCACATCTGGACTGTTACTACAATATGACTAATGGCCAGGGACAAGTTTCTGTTACCTACCTCTTCAAAGGAGGAAGTGAAAGTGGTTTCACTGCCATAATATGGTTGGTTAGAGGCCTCCATGTAATCGTTCTGCCAAATTTTTCCTTCACCTGAGAGCCTTTCCTCACCCAAGAGGCTCACAGAAAGGAAGCACAGCTACTAAAGTACTTTGGACTGAAGAGCAGTCCTGCTTGAGCTGCTTTTAAATGTGAATGCATAGTTTTAGTAAACTTACCCACAAAAAGGCCAAGGGAGAAACACCTCCCTAGTTAACCAGCCAAAGAGCTGAGTCATCGCTGGTAAACAATGAGATGGCACATCTCCCCAGATGATGGCATTCCTCAATGAAAAAGTCATTTTGATCATAGTTGGGGCCTGAGCTGGGTCCTCCACACTGCAATGCTTTTGCACATTCCTGTGGTTACACCAAATGTGACCACACACAAGATGCCACCAACCTTATCCAAACCTCAATCACTCTCAGCAGAGAACTATGTCTATTACTCAAGAGAGAAAAACGAGGCCACCTCCTTTCCTGCAGTCTCAGAGAAATGAGTGCTTCTATGCCTTTCTCCCACTTGGAGACTCCCTTGTTGAATCTCTTCCTTTTATCTTCTCTGGGCCTTATCCCATTAGTCCCCTTCAGTTCTATTTTCATTTTTTCTTTCCTTCCACTAGCTCTTCTCAGGCAAAGGCATGTCTGAGTCTCCCTCTCAATAATCTCCCTCACACTCAGGCTGCCATGCCATTCATTCCGTAGCCGCATGTCTCCCAAGAGCAAACTGAAGACTGAAACTGGAGGGTGTGGGTGAGAAGAAGGGGAAGAAGGGTAGGGCCTTCGGTTTTTGACCTCATACTTTCCTTTCGTGAGTTTAGTCAGAGGTTTATAATCTTTTAGATTTATTAGAAATAACTTTTCTTAATATCAAGAGTGACCCCACCCTGCTTTCTCCATGTTCCTATCCTCTCAAAATTCTGCTAACCGGTTTTAGTCCATACACTCTACTAAAGCTGCTATATCCAAGGTCATGAAAAGAGCTGCTAAAATCAATAGCACCTTTTCTGTCTTTACGCTAATGGACCTCTCTATAGCATCTAACAAAGTTGCCCACTGACTATTTATAGAAACTCTGCATCTAGGTTTCTTTTTTTTAAACTTATTTTATTTAAATTCAATTAGTTAACATATAGTGCATCATTAGTTTCAGATGTAGAGTTCAGTAATTCATCAGTTGCATATAACACCCAGGGCTCATTACATCACATGCCCTCCTTAATGCCCGTCACCCAGTTACCCCATCCCTCCACCAACATGCACCTAGGTTTCTAAACACCATCCTCCTGGTTTACTAACTCTCCTTTTTAACTTTTCATTTTGGAAATTTTCTTTCTTTTTTTTTTTTTTTTAAGTAGGCTCCACTCCCAGCCTGGAGCCCAGTGTGGGACTTGAACTCATGACCCTGAGATCAAGATCTGAGCTGATATCAAGAGTCAGGCACTTAACCAACTGAGCCACCCAAGTGCCCCTCATTTTGGAAATTTTCAAACATATTACCAAATCTGGCTTCCCCCTACATATCCACTCATTTATTCCCTTCTACCTTATCATTCTGAACAAATCCCTATAACTCTAGATTAAAATTCCTTACTATAGGGGCGCCTGGGTGGCTCAATTGTTAAGCATCTGCCTTCGGCTGGGGTCATGATCCCAGGGTCCTGGGATCGAGCCCCGCCATCAGGCTCCCTGCTCCGTGGGAAGACTGCTTCTCCCTCTGCCACTCCCCCTGCTTGTGTTCCCTCTCTCGCTGTTTCTCTGTCAAATAAATAAATAAAATCTTTAAAAAAATAATAAAATAAAATTCCTTACTATAATCACAATTCCATTATAAACCTATAAAGACTAACAAAAATTCACTATAAAATATCCAAACATAACTATATGCAAAAGAATAAAGTTGAACTTTTATCTTATACCATACACAAAAATTAACTCAAAATGGATCAAAGACTTAAATTTAAGAGTTAAAACTATAAAATCCTTGGAAGAAAACATAGGGAGAAAGCTTTATGACATTGGATTTGGCAATGATTTCTTGGATTTGACACCAAAAGCATAGGCAAGGAAAAAAATGAACATTAGTCCAAAGAAGATATACAAATGGCCAATGAGCACACAAAAAGATGTTCAACATCACTAATCATTAAGAAAATGAAAATCAATGAGATACCTCCTCGTGATGAGACTACACAGAGAGGGAGAGAAAACCGACCAGGCCAGCATCCCTGGTGAGCCTGCATGACTCCAGACCCAGCTGCCCTCTGGTTGCCACTGCATGAGAGACCTCTTGTGAGACCCAGCAGAGCCAGTCAACTCACAGAAGTGTGAGAGATTATAAAATAAAGTGGTGGGGGTTTTTTAAAGCTACTACACTTTGAGGTGAGTTGTTATGGAACCAACAACTTACTACCATCTTTTAAGTTGAATCGTGAAATTCTGTGAATCTTTACAAGACCCAGGACAAATGCCACCTCTTCTGAACAGCCTTACCTAAGGAGGTAATATTTCACATTTTATGAAAAGCTTAAGGATAACCTAATTTTTAATAATGGCTTTATTGAAATGTAATTCACATAGCATTCAATTTACCCATTTGAAGTGTACCATGGTTGTATGTTCACAGAGCTGTCAAGTATCAATATAATTAATTTTAGAACATTTTCATTATCTCCTCCTCAAAAAAGCCCCTTGCCCATAGCGGTCACTCTCCATTTCCCCCCAAACTCTCCTCCTACTGCCAGACCTAGGCAACCACTAATCTATTTTCAGTACCTAGATTTGCCTTTTCTGGACATTTCATATAAATGCAATCATACAGAATGTGGTCTTTCATGTCTGTCTTTTTTTCCCTGAACATGTTTTCAAGGTTCATCTACGTTGTACAATGTATCAGTACTTCAATCTTTTTTATTAGTGAATAATATAGCAAATATTCTTGAAGTATTTGTGTGTTTGAATAACTTCTCATGATGATTTCCTAAAAGTAGGATTGATTGGTTTAAAGTGTGCCCATTTGGGGCGCCTGGGCGGCTTAGTCGGTTAAGTTTCCAACTCTTGATTTCGGCTCAAGTCATGATCTCGGGGTCGTGAGATCGAGCCCTGCGACAGGCTCGGTTCTCAGCGTAGAGTCTGCTTGGGATTCTCTCCCTATCCTTCTCCCTCCCTCTCTGTCCCTCTCCCTGCTCATGCTCTTTCTCTCTCTAAAATAAACCTTTAAAAAAAATAAAGTGCCCCCATTTAAAATTTTGACAATTATTCCAAAATTTAGAATGACAGGAACTCCAAAAGGTTATCATATACACAATCAACAGCATATCTTTCCTAACTCCCTATAAGTAATTATTAAATTTTAAATCTCTTCTAATCTGATAGGTGAAAATGTCTTATTTTTAAATCTTTGGGTTTTTTTAGTTATTAGTAATTTTTGATCTTTTTTTGGTCATTTATGAATTAGCTATCTACACTTAAGTAGATTTTTCATCTATTTTTTGACCTAATTATTTTATATTAGAGAAATCAATCCTTTGTAAATGTTACAAATATTTTCTGTCAGTTGTTACTACTCTTGTATCTGTGATTATGGTGTTTTCCAACACACAAAATTAGGAAAATTCTTCCCTTTTTACATTTCCTTTTTCAGAATTTTCCTGTTTATTTTTCCAAAAGAAATTGTCAGTTTTTTAAAATTCCTATTAGAATTTTTTGGGGGGATCATGCTCTTTATAGATTGATCTGTAGGAGCTCTCATTTTACACGATGCTTCTTCCTAACCCCATTCATTTTAAGTTTTGCTTATGGCATCCAGTTGTTTTTGTTTCAGTTTTCTTGACATGGTTTCTTCACATTTCTTTATTTTTTTTAAAAGATTTTATTCATTTATTTGTCAGAGAGAGAGAGAGAGCACAGGCAGAGGGAGCGGCAGGCAGAGGGAGAAGCAGGCTCCTCTCTGAGCAAGAAGCCCAACGCGGGACTCGATCCCAGCACCCTGGGATCATGACCCGAGCAGAAAGCAGATGCTTAACTGACTGAGCCACCCAGGCATCCCTCTTCACATTTCTTTAAAGTTTATTCCTAGATTTTAAAGAAAATTTTTGTTGTTACTATGGATGAAATCTTTTCTTCTGATATACTTTCTGAGTATAATCTACATAAAAGAAAGACTGGTTCTCTCATATACCCACTTTATAACTTAGTGTTATTGATATCTTTAAAATGTTAGATGAAAAATAGTGAGTCAAAATGATCCAATCAGGTTACATAGATACACCAGTTTTGGATCAACACTCAATACACTAATAATAAGTATTGGAATCAATCCTCATATACTGCTGGTGGGAATGTAAAATGGTGCTGCCATTTTGGCAAACAGTTCAGTAGTTCCTCAAAAGATTAAACATAGTTACCATATGACCCAGCAATTCTACTCCCAGATATCCAAGAGAAATGAAAACATATGGCCACACAAAAAGTTGTAACTAAATGGTCATAGCGGTATTACTCATAACCGGCAAAAAATGGAAATAACCCAAATGTCCATCAATTGAGCAAGTACCAAT